TTTTATATTTTTAAGACACCGATTAAAGCTAAAAATGAAATTCCGATTATTTATAATGTGTCTGTCTTTACTAAGATGTCACTGAAATAACTGTGGCGTACGTTTTACTTCTTTCATAAAGCGAATCTTCTTGAAATTTCACATTAAAATTTCCTTCAGTTCATCACACGAAACAAGATTTACCGAACTGGCTGGCTGGGCGTTATTGAACTATAAATTAGTGAAAAACGCGCTCCGCCACGTGCGTGTTATGAAAGTGGTTGTAAAATCCTACTTTTAGATCAACGAGATTGGGTGCTGTTGACTAGCTGCGTTCCCACTAACCTACCAATTGAAAATTAGGGACGTTCTCAGCAGATAGTCCTTTGTGTAGCTTTGCGCGAAATTCTGAAACAAACAGAAAACGATTCCTTGTACTTGTTATATGCCTTATCCATAATTAAATTTCAGAAATTATTTTCATTATAGATATCCCGTAATGTTAAGAAATTTCACAATCAAATACGATGTTAAGCTTTAAAACTACATTCGACTGTATTAACTGTTAAGTAGGAGTTGTAAATCAACGGGACTTCCTTATCTTGTAAATAAATAGTTGACTGTTTTACCGATATGACAACAGATTAGTAGATACGATTGCCATAAAATCTAGTTTACTTCAACAACAGCTCCCGTTTTCTAATGTAAGCGGTAAAAACAAACGTTTAAAGATGCTTCACAATGAGGACGTGAACTTAGTCAGTTAAACGGAAACAGTAAGTTTTACCAGGAAGTTGATTTAAATATGTGGGGAGAAAAATAAAACACATGTAAAGATAAAACGCTGAACGAAGTGCACATGTTCATATTTTTTTTTCTTAGAAAATTCTTTATCCTACTTTTAAAAAAGGGCTACGTTCTACTTACACTAACTATAGCTTAGTTAACTTTCATAACGTTCTTCATGCTGACAGGGGGGTTAAAATAGACCGAGATGCTTTGAATTAGAGCTTCTAAAAACAACAACAAAAAATACACAAAAACAAAGAGTTAAAGGTCACATTTATGGTTTAGTAGAACAATTGTATTGTTGTACGTCTCAACTCAAGTCATGTTAGCACGATTTATAATTATAATTGCATGCACGAAGCCTACCAGTGCAAGTAACTGCGTTACATGCAGAAGCAGCAACAAATCAGATCAGAATGAAAGAGATTACGTCAGATCAGGAAAGTGGGCGGCAGCTGCTCAATGAACACTCAAAAGATAAAATGTTCACCGACCCACAAACAGAATATCATCACAATATAATAACGAATTCTGCATACTAGGTTAAAGTTCAATCCGTTTTATTATTATTAATTTAAGATTAATCGTACCTTTTCTCTCTAAAATCGTTTAACCTGTACCCGAATAAAAAAAAAGAAATGAAAGGTTTAACCTCAAAACAAACTAGAGGGAGCACTTACTAGAGCGCATACCTCTACCACGCAGCGTTGATCATATTAGGCCCTTAAAAATAAGAAGATATGTCTGTCATTATCAAAGGACACCGGTCATTTTTGCCAGAACAATGAGGAATAACATTCTACACAAGTCCATCAAGTCTCATCAAAATCGGATCATTTTTTTTTTTTTTATTCGAGTTATAGAACAAAACTAGGGAAAATCGGTCCCTATGTTAACAAATAGGATTTTTTGGGGGGGGGGGACTTTTGTGACCTTGACCCTCGAAAACTAATCACTTCTAAGTTGGGTCATAATCCAAATGTATACAAACTTTCGTCTAAAACCATTTAGCCGTTCGAGAGAAGTCTTGCTGACAAACACACAGGAGTGAAAACATAACCCCTGTCACCTTCGGTGGTGAAGATAATTATTCGCCTGCAATCTATACAACTAAAAATTAAAACTTGTTCACAAAAATAAAACCGTACACGTAAACAGCAGTATATTAATTGCAGATATAACCACAAAAAATAAAAACTATCATAGAATGAGTATGTAAAAAAGTTACATTAGAAACCTACACACTTTTTTCAACATCACCCGTAATTCTTAATTTTAATTAACACATTTCAACAGTCTGCCAAATCAACATGATAAAACGTGTATTGCAATATTAGAACACAAGAATTAATGTGGATGTGTCTTATGTTGAGTTCATAGATCTAGTCATATTTTAAATGAATTACTACGAATGGCATCTATGGATGCTTGAAATTTTTCACTTCGAACGCTAGTAGGAAGCAGTGTGATAGAAATCTAAGAGAGGCCACCAATGAAGTGATTCTTAGCTCTGGTTTATATCGAAAGACAGCATTTTCTAAAAACATCAGCATTAACAGCTTGTATTTTGTCTACAGACTGTAACAAATTCTGGTATTTGCGCGCTAAAGTAATGATTGAAACAGTTATTTTAAACTTAAGTTCACAGTAAGGGAAACTTCTACACGAATCATTTAGCAAATTAAGTGTAAAGAGATGGCTGTGGTTACATTACAGATGCTACTCGTTGTGTTTTTAGCCGATTAATTATTTAAATATTATCCAAATATTGCTTGTTAATTTGCGACAGATTCACCAACACTACATGTCAATTTTTTTCGTTTATCAGTTATTTTTTAATGCCAATTAGAAATACACTTTTATCGAATAATGAAATCATTTAAGAAGTGAAAGAAGTACATTTCAAAATCTCAATATGTTCATGCATAGGCATTTTTTTTCCTACTGCTGCTATCGAGATCTTTCACTCGATACAAGCCTATCAGATTGTTGGCAGAAACGTATATAAAAGAAAACAAAAACAGGTCGTTCTTGAAATGCTATGATACACACCTATTTTGTGGAAACATTAAACTAAATAGGAGTCTTATTGTAATAACCTATCACACCTGTTATACAAAGAAGTTAACGCTTCGCCAGCTTAAGTGTCCACCATAGAAATTTTCCCGTATAACGTTATTATTAGTTTTCTGTATGTACAAGGCAGACGATTATGACAAAAGAAACGGTGTGTTATAAAAAGTAATAAAAACTGAAGTCGAAAAAGAATTAAAAAAAGGGTTAGCACAGCAGGTGAACATCTTTCTTCATTTTTTCTTTATCGTATCTCAAAGTCTATTAAAATAAACTATTATGAAACAAAATGACGGAGCAAATCAACATCCGGGAAAGTTAGTTTTCAAATGTACTGAGAAACTGCTTAGTTATTATAACATTAAGCAACAAGAAGTACATTTTTGATTATACAGGAATCGTTATGTTGATGTAATGACTTTCAATTTTTATACGTTTGATTTGTGGTTTGTCCTGTGTACTACTGAAGGCTTTATTGTTGATTTAATTAATACCAGTGTTCTGCAAGTTTTAATTATTAAATATATATTCTCCCTTTCCTTTTATTTTACGTGAATAAAAATGTTCTTAATAAATAATACGCCTACCAGTGGTATTTATAACGCTGGAAACCGGGTTTTGATACCCGTGTTTGATACAGTAGAGATAACCCATTATGTAGCTTTGTGCTTAACTATAAAACAAAATAATATTGACAAATTTCTTAATATACCATTAACCGTGTTAACTTAGTCTTAAAAAACACATAGTAGAGACTGCATCTAAAAGTAAAATTACGTTTGGTAGCTCAAAACTGAAATTCAAAGAAATACAAAGAAACCTAAAAAGTGAAAGGTTTCTACCTATTCTATTTGTTATTTAGAGCCGTTTTTGATTCGAAAATCAGTTTCTTTCATCTTCATATTGACAATTACAGCTTATACTAATAATACATTGAGTTTTATATTTAGAATTACCAGTGCTACCTTACGTGTTATTAGTATGGTTTGTTTGTTTTTGTTGATAAGCGTAAAGCTCCAAAATATGCCACCACGAATATCGAAACCAGTGTTTTAGAGTTACAAGTCTCCAGACTCACCGCTGAGTCACGGGGGGGGGGGTGGGTTACTTATTATAGTAATCACCATTCTTAAATCTGCTGAATGGAGAGTATTTTACAAGTACCGAGAGCGAAAGAAGCCTCCTTAACCCTTTTCTTGGTAAATTTGCCATTTCTGTTCTCAGGGACTAATAAGAATACCTCTTAAAGTCAAAACCCCCAATACACAGAGTCCAATGCTACATGGGTTGTGAGGGGGGGGGGGCTTTCTCTAATTAATAAAAAAAAAATCGTAAAATTTCTTAAACTTTCTCGGTTCCTTGGAGTACAAAATGCCTGGTCGCGAAAAGATTAATATCAAGGGAAGTCGAATTTTTTTGTAACCAAGAGTTTAACAACTAACGAGTTAAGTTTTTCAATGATAACTAATTTTTGTTAATGTTTCTTTCACCACTATCAGATCAGTGGGTTAAGTCGGAGTGAGACACAGATCAAGTTCTGTTTGAGCAATCAACTAAAGAAAAAGCTCAGAGGGCAGTGGTAGGGATACCTATTAATTTCTTCATTTTTATTTTAACTCAAAGATAGTGACAAAGGGTGAAAATACGGAAACTAGTAGAGCTGAAAAGATTTTGTTTTGAATTTCGCGCAAAGCTACACCAAGGCTATCTGCGCTAGCCGTCCCTAATTTAGCAGTGTAAGACTAGAGGGAAGGCAACTAGTCATCACCACCCACCGCCAACTCTTGGGCTGCTCTTTTACCAACGAATGGTGGGATTGATCGTTGCCTTATAACGCCCCCACGGCTGAAAAGGCTAGCATGTTTGGTGGGACGAGGATTCGAACCCGCGACCCAGATTGCGAGTCGAGCTCCCTAACCACCTGGCCATGCCGGGCCAAAACCGAAAAGAACAAAAACAAATGATATAGTTTCGCACCACATTTTCTTTTCGCCAAAAGTGATTACAGAAACATCAATAAATCTTACAACTAATAACGGCCTTGTAAAGATATCGGGGAGTTAATTGGTAGCATTATTGACGCTTGTTCTCTTAATTCCTTCAGTTATACAACGAGAACAAAAATGTTAAAATATAAATGATAAAGTTAAATACTTTACCTATTGACCCCCATTCTGGGTGAGCTAAATTATTGTACCATCCATCATGCCGTTGTTTTTCTGTTTGAGCTAGTTTTTCTCCTTTTTGTTTCCCATCCTCTGCAAAAGAAATATTCATAATACGTCATTCAATAAAAATAAACAACGTATTCATAAAAAAGTCCCAGTCAATAAAAGTCACAAACATGGCGCTGTGGCATTGCAAAATTTTCAATGTAAAAGTACTCTCTTGAAAACAAGTCTTAAAATGCTGGACAAAATCCATACTTCAACCAATACCAGAAGAATTTCAAACAAATACAATTCAGATTAGTTATCTTTAAGGCCTTGCTTAATTGCCACATGGATCCACTGACAAATCTCGCTTAAGCAGCTCTTGAACGGCCAGTAAAAAGTTACCGAGGGCGTCATTTAACTTTTTTTTGTTGTTGTTGTTAAAATTAATCAGTGCGGCAAAGAAAAACAAGATTCAAATATTTTTGTAGATGGTGTTACAAAAACACCAATCATGGTAAGCTTCGAAATATTGATACGGAATTCACTTTAACTAGTTAAATTATAGCATTTTTTACGTGTTGTATGTACGTCTATTACTTTGCAAACAATAATATTCTTTAATATAATTTAAACCTTATAATACTCTGTATACTGTAGTACAAAAGGGTTATTGAACGCGTCTGCTCACTCTTTTAATGAACTGCTAAATATAATATAATAAGAATTGATATAGTTTTAATTATGAGTAATATGCAAACCACCAAAAGATTCCATGGTCGCTCTGCCTTAGTCAAAAGTAGCCTAAATCACATTATCATAAATATGAATAGGTAAATATTTTAGTATAGTTAGTAAACTAATTAATTTTTCAACCATGAAAACAGGCATCCTGTCTAAGTCTTTTCAGACTTGTAACAGTACGCAATTGTACGAACTTTACTTATACGTAAGCCCTATCGAAAATTTTAGAAAGTCATTCAACTCGCTGAGGTCACCGGTCAGCATCCACAATTCCCCATTTTAACGAATATTTAGTCATGATAAGCGTGTCAAATTTTCTTTGGCAGTCTAAGTTATTGGCACAAAACTAATAAACTGTTCACCTCGAGTTCACTTGCACTCGTTTTTGAAATGAATATTAAAATTAAATGTCTATCGTAATTTCCACCATTTTGAACCCTTGAGTCATTATCCCAATTCTCATTTTTTTCAGAGAAAACAAGTTCAAGGCATCACGTATAACTTTCAAATAATGAAAATACTGATATTTTTAAAGCATAAATATCAATTCCACTTTTAGTTTTGTTTGTTGAATTTTACGCAAAGTAATCTACTTTAGAGGCGATAGAATAGAGAGAAAGCAGCTAGTCAACACCACCCACCGCCAACACTTGGGCCACTCTTCACCAACGAATAGTGGTATTAGCTGTTATAATGCACCAAAGACTGAAAGGGTGAGCATGTTCCGCAACTGGTTACGATCCCGCGACAAAGAGAGAGAGAGAGCGAGTAGGGCACTAACCACCAGGCCATAACTTTTAGTGATAATTAGTGAATTACCAAAAGTCGCAACACTTATAAAACTCTTGAACAGACTATTACGTAGCAATGACGCAAAAATCACGTTCATTGATTACCCACAGTCCTCATGCAAGTACAATGTTTTTGAAAGATAGTTAACTATATAAAACTAAATAATAAAATACCAGTGGTAAGAAGTCCGCAGTCGTATTTTATCACCTATTGAATTTTAATTAATTTTTGCTATTGGTACAAAGGCCAGTTAAGCACAAGGCTAAACTATTATAAGCGGTTTCATTTAACAATATAGTTTTATTGGATCAACCGAACTCGCAAGTTTTAGTTTAAAAATTCTTAAAAAAACTACTGCTCACGTGCAGAGAGACACACAAGCTCAACATTTTGCTTTTTTTTTTGTCGCGAGCACGTGACTTTAATCATTATATATCAGACTGAAATGAAGTATATAAAAGTTTCTTTCAAGGCGAACACCCATAAAACATTTGTATTATGTATTAAACGGGTTACAGTGAAGTGAAAAATTCGTGCAAGTCGTTCACAGTACCACGCCCGTTCAAATATACCTTAGGTACATGCTACCAACAGGTGCTGGTCTCATACGTAAAGGTTTAAATAACCTTGACGTTATTTCATACACTGGATATTGTACACAAACACACACGCGCGCACATTACACGGGGAAGGGGGTAGATAACTTGCTGCACGGAGCTCCCTACGTACTGGAATAAAGGGTTCACACTCAATTTTTCATGATTAAAATAAGAGCAGATATAGAATACCACATACATACAACACTTGGATGTGAGCCTTTGGAGTTTGATCTCGTATTTCGTCCCCTGACGATAAGACAGCAAAGAATTCACGCAACAGAGGTCATAGTGGCATTAATTTGCTACCACACGGTGCAAATAGCGTAACCACTCAGACAAGGACATTTAGCTACGCCAGAAAAACTTGAATGTGTTTGTACAGTTTGGTCGTTATTGGCGTCATCGTGTAGCCACATATAGTAAAAAAGTCGATACTCTACGCATAGGACTAAGGGGGAGGGGGTATTATTATCAATCACGACAAAGTCAACAAAAACGTGCAAAAGATCCACTGAAGAGTAATAAATTTAAAAGCTGCCCGTAGTGATAGACCAATAATCTTCTACCGCGTATATCTTGCTACGGATAAATATTAATTTTGAAGTTTTCGTCAACGTATAGTGATTAATGTGACCGGTATAACCACGTTTAGTTTGTGCTCAAATGTATAATCAAACCAATTATACACATTATGTACGAATCAATTCCCTACGTGTGATCTCCATTCACCAGGAAATCCACACTAGACGAGTTTGTTAGGTATGTTGATTGTAAGAACTTAAAATAAAAGCAAAATTATACAGTAAGTCTTCAGAAACCAATTCAATTAATGTATAATTAGGTTTTCGCGTCTACCGGACCACCAACTAGGATTTATATATATCTTCTAGCAAGCCCCAAGTATTTGATAATTAATGTTATACACATTCACTGTTGGATCTCGTCAAGAATCGTACATCCTCCAAACCAAGCAGGACTGACGATAGCTTTTACGAAACTTCGAGTAAAATTGAAACCCCAAATTCCAAATGAGATTTCAAACAAGTTACTTTTAATACGTTTCTGGTGTATTTTCACGCCATCTATTTTATACACGTCTATCTCGAAGCATAAGAGTAAGATCTACACAATATTTAAGCAAAACATTTTTTGCTCATATCCTCCAAAACAAAATCCGATATTATAAAGAAGCTCACAGTTTTTCTTATTGTTGAAGTTCAAATCGTTTATCAATTGACGAGTTTTACCAGTTACAGTACTTATAAAATATTCTTGATTTTTTTTTTTCCACTGACGAATTTTCTTAACGTGTTCCTGTTTCCAAAGCTGCTTTTCATTTTCTTTAATTGCACTGTTTAATCCCCACTTTTTTTTTGTTCAACGAATGTATCCAATGTGCATCTCTTCTAATTTCAGAACTAAACTCAAATGATTTTTCACACGAGTCACGACTTTACGTCAAATAATTCAGTTACTAATAAGCAAATCGATTACCCTCTGTGTAAAGCATACAGCCTATTGTGTAACTTCGCGCTAAAACAAACAATTTTTTCTTCTAACTTCAAAAATGATTAGAATCCTTACATTCTCATCACAAGTCTTTACTTCACGCGGTTGTAGAATGTTCCAGATCTGGAAGCATAGCTATTGAGAATAGTATTTAGGGCACCAAAGCTATGCGACTCATTATGAAAGTTGAGTTTCATCTCTGCGTTATGTTTGTGTGACCCACCTTTTGTACATTGGTCTATGATATTATCTTTTGTATTTCACATGTTAATTACGTTATTACAAATTGCAGACATTTATTAGCCCACGAGATTAGATGTTTTATACTATCATTAATCCTTTATGTTAAGTATCACATGATATCATAATAAGATGGTTTCAAGTTCAAACAATCCCATTCCCTCACTAACTGCTTTTATTTAGGTATTGCATGAAAAACTAAAACACCCTTAAAAGTGAATGAAGAGACTGGACTACTTCAATGATATTAAATAACATTTGAAAAAAACTTTTACTCAGTTAATTAAAATTTCACAAGTATTTTGTGAACAAAACGCTGAAAACTAAGTTGTTAATCCTCTATTTGAGATTTAGGACACACATATAAATCAAAATATACCTTTAATTATCCAATACATAGTATTTTAAAATTGAAACCCCAGAAGAAACTGTCAACACTCTGTCTACAATATTATATAAACAAAGAATAGCAATTGTCCTCGTTAGTAAAAATACCGTTTCAACATTAAAAGCACTTCTGGTAAATACCAACGATTTTGCAACATATTAAGAAACAGCAAACGAAAAAATGAAACTGGTCGATTTTCCGCGTCTCGCACTGAAATAACATGTCAAAAAAGGGGGATCGATCACTGTTTTTTAAAAGAAATGTTGTCGACATCAGGGAAAGAATGCAAGTGTTGCATCATTACGCAGTGCACAGTTTTTAACGGCTACCAATGAGATAACTTCACTAAAAGTTTAAGTTAGTAATATATAAAGGAAACTGTTGAAATTGTAATAGAATGTACTAGAGGATAAATAAACTCGTGCTTCGCCTACGATGCATGTACTCAAATTATTTGACAACCGAAACATTTTGATAAACATTTTTTTTTCAAAAAATAAATATAGATGGGGTTGAATCACATACCATCCGCGTATGAAGCATTTGTTGTGCAATACGAGCCAAAAGATGTCACATATTCAACAATATTACGTGGAATATAACACACACAGATATAAGGAGGCTATATATTTTAAATATCCAAGTCAATTAAATAGTGCTGTTGTTATGCTATGTAGTTAGACATGAATGAAACAAAAACCTACTAAGCAGAATAAAAAGTTGTATTTAGAATTAAAATAAGGTAGCGTGAAAACATGGAATAACTATATACGACATACCTGTCTATACGACACATTTTTCAATAAATATGAATCATCGTCAACTTTGACTAGGATCTTGAGATTTTTTTTTTTATTTGGTCCATTATTACCAATAACGAAAATGGTGCAATATTTTATTCTCGTCGCGGGTAAACTCGTTATTCACTTACGAAGCGTATCTAAACTTTACGCCTAAATGTCGATTTTTATACGCCTGTTGTAATTTGTATTGAAATGCCATTACATTTCAATTGCTTTATTTACAAATCATAGAACGGTAAAGAATTAACTTCCTTGCGTAGTTGTCTTTAAAAGATAATGTTGCAAACGTCGTAGTTTTGAACTCAGATAAATGCACTTTAAACATTGTTCACTTTTGCACTCGTATAAACGTAAAAGTACCACTGTACAATTAATATATAGGAACTGGGTTTCCATGTGAGCCAGCGCGCATACACGCACGGACTAACTGACACACATTGTTCTATTAATTACATTGATAGAACTATAGGCACCTTGTTTTAACTTTTAACAACAGGGATTACAAGTAAGTAGTTCTTGATATTTGTAGACAGTCCACTCATTTTAAAACACAATATAAATTAACCTGTTAAGATCACGAGTAGAAGCGTCGATATTTAAAATTTATAATAGCGCAACGGCGTTAAAAGGTAAATTCTAAATTTTGTAACCTGAGGCTTTGACAGTGTCTTATTCCTGAATTCTGACATTTGTTTTATATAAGAGAGAGAGAGCAGAATGAGAGTCACATGGCGTGAACTAAATTGAGAAGTATTGGTTCTTTAAGAATTAACAAAAAACAAAACTGAAACCAATAAAGGTATTGTAAGCATCTCTAATCGAGTGCACTGGCCGGAATCAGACACTAAAATCAGAGAACGTAGTAGACGGAATGAACCTGTCACTTGGTAAACTGTCAGAATCACAACAAGTTAACGAGTGTTGAAATACTCAAGTTGTTTTTATAAAGCTAAAATCTGTAAATATCTTTTCCCAATTTCGAACGATGAAATTCTAAATATCTACAGAAGTAGTGGTATACAAATGGATTTCTTTTTCTTTTTTTTTTTGGTCTAATACAGTTACGTACGTACGTACGTGTGTGTGTGTGAGTGAGTGAGTGAGTGAGTGAGAGATGTGCATGTATATTGACAACTCAGTCGAGGAGACTGTACAAGTTTTGAGAAGAAACTTGTAAAACGAAACACTTTCATCTTAAACACAACATTAGAATGTGCATGTTCTTAAGTTTACATACGCTCGTTCACTAATGTTTTCCCGACACCATATTTATCTCCATAAGCCTGCTAATCCAATATTCTTTACAAATAGCTTTAGAGAATGAAAATATCTACTGAAAACAATACAGATCTTACGGTAACGTTTAACAATACAGATCTTACGGTAACATTTAAAAGAACGTCAGCCTAGCTTCTTTCTCTTCGACCAAAAATAAGAAGAAATATGTCTATTGTAAATACGCTGGCTTTAGTGTCGAAACTTCTTGTGGGGGAGAAGGGGGCTGTCCTCGGGTAAAACCTTGCAACCGAATGGTGATTTCGTTTGCTTCATGACGTAAAATCCAAGGTCGCCCCTCCTCTCCACATGTTTTTTTTCTTGGAAAGGTATAACTTTCCATCTCCTATATTTAAAGAAAATAAGTGACTAAGTTTAGGGGAAATATGCTATATTCTCAAATAAGAAAATATTTTGGTCACAAATTGTAAAAATCATAGTGAATAACGAATCGGGTTTCGTAATTTAGGAAGATAATGCCAGCGTTATTGCCCCCCCCCAACCCCTTTGATTGATTTAAAAAAAAATTGAGTCCACGATATAGTTGAATATTAATCCTGGTTAATGGCTCATGAACAAAAACAAAGTAGAATGAGTAATGTTTAAAACAATAGGGGTTTAAGAAACATAATATCATCGACTTTCCCGTCAAAATCATTTCCCTAAAAGTGTGAAGTTAATTGAACCATCATCATTACATCTTTGACGAAAATAAAATAAATCCATCCACGAAACTATAACGAAAACGGTAAATACTATTGATACATTTCCGCTAATTTCGCTTAGAGAAAATATTATAATATGTACAATGTCCGACTGGGCAGCTTTTGCCTTCTAGGTCAGATTAATTGATCGAATATCCCTGCTATATTGAACCCAAAATAAATAATTTTATGCACGAAAATTTCAGTCACTCCACCATTCAATAAAATAGTATTAATTGTCAACAGCACTATCCTAGCACCTGCCACATGATATGCTAACATGAATAGATTCAGTCTAATACAAGATGGTAATTTATCCACGTTACTGACGTTAGATTGAAAAGTGTGTAAAGGTCTAGTTATTGATAAATATTTTCTTGTAGAATTCTATAAGACTGTTAACAACAGATTATTGATACATACATATTTTTCTTTATATTTTTAGAAATGGAGACATTTTGATCGGATAATTATAGAGGATTATTATTCAAATTAAGATGCAACTTGCTGAAAGATTTCTAAAAGAATTCTTTAATTGATTTGTGGGAGGATATAATAGTAACAGTGTTTATATAAATTTGTAGTTTTAGAAAGTATTAACAAAACATGTAATTTACGAGACTTACCGTCATGCGCGACCACAATAGAGATACTTGCGACTAAAATCCACCAGAGGATCTGCTTAATAAATGCCTCCATTCTGAGGCCTTAAACACCTTGAGATGAGTTTCAAAGTTCAACAGATGACCGCAAGTGTTTTAGTTACAAAGTTATCGACTAGATCAGGAAACTAAAATTATATTTAAAAAAATGAAAACTTTCTGAAAAACCGACGTAGTACGCAATAGTATGTTATATATTTAATAAAACTTAAGACAGTATATCCGTTCTTAGTTCTTGTACACGGTGCAGACAGACAAGTAATACAGGTGTGTAAAACTCATAGACTCTCTATAAGACTGGTCGTTCAAACTTGATGTGACCTGTACTGCAATTCACCCTTGTCTTATACTACTGCCTCGCCTTGTGACGTCAAAATCACCTCCGGATAAAGCTGCGTTGCATGTCTGTGGCTCTAAGAAAGTAACAACAGCGTAGACTCGTCCTTCTCGTGCCTATACATGCACACTTTTGGGGAAATACCTAGCTTTGCTCGTCATGGCACGTGCACGTAAAAGGATTATCTGGCGATTTTGTTCTTGTACATCCGTTTGATTAGGAAATTCCAATAAGCGGTTATAAATAAACAAGTAAGGTTATCCTATGGTGACATGCGGATTTAAGCTATCTAGGTATAAGGCCACGTAAAAGGATTATCTGGCGATTTTGTTCTTGTACATCCGTTTGATTAGGAAATTCCAATAAGCGGTTATAAGTAAGGTTATCCTATGGTGACATGCGGATTTAAGCTATCTAGGTATAAGGCAGCCATGAAGAAGAGAGTTAAAACCCCAAATTTAAGTACGTCTGTTATGTTTCGAGTCATATTAACCCGATGCAGTTCCAAAAATTTAAACATCCATGAATTGATGAAATATTTTGCCCATTCATGGCGTTTACTCTATGATGTCATATATTAGAAATTAATGTTAGCTCTCATTATATTAAACTCGAAGACAAATTTACGTGCATCATAACGTTACGAAGATCAGTGTCAGGTAAAATATCCCCGAAACATAATAAATGGATTAATTCTAATAATGTATTCTGAGGATATCTTTATTGCGTATTGGGGTAGTGTTTTTATCAAACAGACCAGGCATGAAGACTGATTATGTATGGACATTTACTGTCGCATTGATCATTAATATGACACTTTCTCAAACATCTGTTTTATTTATTATTAGTATTACTACTATACAATACGATAAGAGAGGGGGGAGTTTTAGTTAGGTTTGTGTAACTGTGAATAAAAATGTACAAGGATTCATGAACTCGTATTACATTTTACGCTGTTCATTATTCATCAAATCAACATGCTTTACGATTACTTTGTCTTTCACTGTTCCGTGGTTGGTCGTGAACTGGTGAAACATCAACTTTCGTTGATATACGAAATATATTTGATTGTAGCATGATAAACGAAATTTTGTTTTAATCGCAGGCTACGCATAAACAGGGTTAAAATAATTCAGATAAATGTTACATAAAAGATTAGTCTGTGGTAAATTTCTATTATAGAATTCTCATGTTTGTGATTTTGCTGTAGAGCTGGCGTTTAAGGGAAAACACATCGGAAAAATGTACAGCTTTGTAAACATGTAAAAAAGTAAGGGTGGAAAATACTGTTCACGACAGATTTCGCATCGAAAAAGTAAGAAACGTTTTTTCTTGCATTACTTTTCAACTTCAGCTAAAAAAAATGTGAATTTCTAAGTGCAGTCTAGTAAAAGAGTCAGTCTCGTGAACAATATGATAGTAAAAAAATTATTTGCTCATGTTTTCTTTTTCCATTTCGATGGCCTAAATTTATTCATCTTATATTTTGTTTATGTTTACCAACTACCTATAGTTATAAAAGTCAATAACCTCGGATGGTTTATTTGTAGTTATAAATATAATTCTCAGAAAAAGTAGGAATTTAAACATTACTTTATGTAATCTAGTACGGAAATCCAATACATTGTTTGTAAGAATTGAATCGAGAGTTTTTAACCTGTGTTAAAATTATCTGTAATTCCGCTAAATCTAATCACATAATGTAAACTGCGTGGCGAAATAGCGATAATAAGACGTCGGTTTTTGGAAGGTCTTGTGTAATATGCACTCAACAGATAAAGTTATTTATCTTAATTAATGCACAAACAAATGTGTTATTCAAGTCTACTAAACGGTATTTCTTGTTCAACAAAAAATGCCGGAAATACTTCATTGTATACTGATGTAAAGAAACAACAAATTTATTTCACTATCAAGATTTATAATCGATGTATAAAGAAAGATTAAAATAACTAGAAATGTCACTGAAAGTATAGGCTCTCGTCGCATAAGATAATGATATGTAAAACAGTCATAGTCGTTGTGTGGGTAAAACAATTTCCCTAACTCTTAATGTATATGTGGTTGTATATTGCGACCTTTCTTTCTTACGTATACGACTACCTTTATGACCTTTACCCCTTCCATCGAAATTGACTCAAGTAATCCAAGGCCGGCATTCAACCATTCCAAAATCCAGATATTTGTCTAAGAGTAGGCTTAGCATTGCTATGACCTTGAACCCTTTCCTTGAAGTTGACTCAAGTACTCCATGACTAGCACTCAACCATTCTATCAGCCCCACTATCGAGATATCTATCTAAGAGTGGGTTTTGCACATAAGACACATGAATTGCTTCCTGTTTGCGAAAGTACCAATCAATAATATACATTTTAAACATGCTGGAAATGCAATAATTCGGATCTTTTCGAAAATGAATTTTTGACTAACACTACCAAACTGCACCTACTGAACAGCTTACATTAAGTGACTGATATGGTGTGTAAACTGAAACTGAGGACGAGTCAATCAACGAAGACACCTCCTGTCGTCATCTAAAATCACCTCAAAAGTTGTTTTCTTTAATAGGTAACCAGTTAACAATTTTGCATTTAAAGTTTAGAATTATATTTAATCTTTTCGTGTGTGTTATTTGTATATTTGTGCCATAAAATACAAATAAAAACTTCTTTCAACATTAAATGTGAAAGTTCACTAGTGAGCTATTTAGTCACAGTCACATGACCGTGAAATTGACTGTCCATTTTGTGAGGATGCGATATTAGTGTGACCTTAAGCTTTGTTTTATTATCTGTGAATCAAACATACGGTGGAGATGAAGCTTATGCCTTACTTTTTCTGGGCCCCCCAGTAGCACAGCGGCATGTTTGCGGAATTACAATGCTAGAAACCGGGTTTCGATACCCGTGGTGGGCAGAGCACAGATGGCCCATTGTGTAGCATTGTGCTTAACTTCAAACAAGCATACTTTTTCTGCAAGTAAGATATTTGTCTTCGAACCTTTAGATGTTTATCATGGAGTCTGTCAGTAAAGACTTTTTTTTTAAAGATTTATTTGTATACGGGGTTAGGCACAGGTAACATGAACTATTCTTCTATAAATATGCAATGCGAGTAGTATCAACACCATAGTTGTATAACTTAGTGGTACTAACGATGTCCTCTCCTATACGATTAAAACTTGTGTTTACACAACAGTATCACAAAAGTAATACAGGATACCGAGAGTATAATTGTCTTATAACACTACAAATTGAAGTCTAGATACGATATAGATAAGACTTCATTATTTTTTTTTATAAACATGAGTTGTGTATTAATAAAAGATATTAGAACTGCTGTAAATTTCGTCGAAATATTTCAAAATAAAAAGAACCTTAATTATATAACTCAGCCCGTTTAGAAGCTAATTGGCTTGTAACTTCAAAATGCATTAATGGGCAATATTATAAACGTCTCGCCAACCTTTACTGAAACAGAGTACGTTGAAAACTTAGAAAGCTCACATACCTTGTTGTACGTGTAAGAAATAGACATACAAAGGATTTGGTCATCAAGTTCACGTGTTAATAACGAAACAGGGGGGGGGGTGCTGAGAAAATTAGCGAAGATGGGAAAATCAGTTAGACAGAACAACTTGACGTAAAAAGAATGCCCACAAGGAATATACATCTTTTCACATTCAGATGGAAAATACTTATTTGCTTTGTTATTTTAAGAATGTGTTCATTTACATTAACTTATGTTAAATGTATAAGCATGGATTTTCTTTCAAAGCTTTAAAGTTGTCATCATTTTAATTTAATAATACTTTATACTGTGAAATAATTTCCCAACATATTTAATCATAAAAGGAATCACGTAAGTTGGCTGGAATGTTGTAATCAGTGATAATGTATAAGTAAGCTTATATCCGGAAAGACACCACTACACTACTGTTTTTACCCTACTCCAATAACAATATTATCTGTACTTAAAAGTACCCTGACTCTGATAGCAACACTGTTTATACATAAAAGTACCTTCACTCTGAATAGGATGGTAACACTATTAAAAGTACATTGACTTGATATCGCTGTATCTATACCTAAAAGTACACTGATTCCGATAACAGATTATCTTAGACCTATAAATTGAACATGAAAATAATATTTATCCTCAAGAAATGACTTTCTCTATTCAGTGCGACAGTTATTTACCTACAAATCCATATAAACCGCGGTAGATGACAAATTTAATGTGAGATTTCAATCCTCAACATATAATTCTCGAGAATATTTTAAAAGAAAACATTTAACAACAAAGCGTGATCAAATAAACTAAGATAAAAGTGAAAAACACCTGTCGCTGTAAACGTTGTTATTTTTTGTACAAACACGATTATAGATGCTGGAGACGTGCTAGAGGAAACTTAAAGATTATTTATTTTTTAAGAAATTATTCAACGTAATGAAATAGAGGAGCGCTTCTATTAAGTACCTATATTTAAGTTTATGTTGTTAACCCGATATTTAAATAGGAACACAAATACTGATTGAGAAAAACAAGTCATGCAAGTCCTTTACTCAACAACGACAAAGATTTGAAATCAAAGTTACTCTAAACATTCCAGAGTAAGGAGTTCTAAAAAGTTTTTTACATACCCTTAACATGACATATCTGGATATTCTAAATCATCCAGATCTGTGAATCTTACCTGATTAACCCATATAAAAACTTACTTTAATTTAAATATCCTTAGCATGACATATCTGGATATTCTAAATCATCCAGATCTGTGAATCTTACCTGATTAACCCATATAAAACTTACTTTAATTGACATGTTCTTAACATGACATATCTGGATATTCTAAATCATCCAGATCTGTGAATCTTACCTGATTAACCCATATAAAAAAATACTTTAATTTACATGTCCTTAGCATGACATATCTGCATATTCTAGAATCATCTATCATACATAAGTTAAATAAAGTTTTTATGTGGGTTAATCAGACGAGATTCAGAGATCTGAATGATTTTGAATATGCAGATATATTATTCTAAGGTCACCTAAATCAAACCAGGTTATTAAACATATCAGACGAGATT